GATTTTTTTGCACCCTCAGATTCCAGATTTTCAAATAGTTGTATCGCAGCCAAATATTGTCCAAACCATACATCAATGGAAAGCTTATTTATTCAGCTTTCAGATGATGTATAAAACTCAATTTCGAAAAATTTACCTTTATGACTGGTTTTGTGGTCCAGGGTCACATATTGTGTGTCAAGATGAGAAGCTGAGCTCATTTTGAAGTTGTTACTTAAGTCAGTCTTTATCTCTGTATGTGTGTGTGTGTGTGTGTGTGTGTGTGTGTGTGTGTGTGTGTGTGTGTGTGTGTGTGTGTGTGTGTGTGTGTGTGTGTGTGTGTGTGTATAGTCACTCGAGGTCTCAGTGTATAACGTGTGCGTATAAGGCGAGCTCAGGGCTGCTGTATCCTCTGGAGCGAGGCTTCATTTACGTGCACAAGCCGCCGGTTCACCTGCGCTTCGAGGAGATCTCCTGCGTTAACTTCGCCAGAGGAACCACCACCACCCGCTCCTTCGACTTCGAGATCGAGACCAAGCAGGGTAACCAGTACACCTTCAGCAACATCGAGAGGTAAACCACACCTCGCCATCACGGACAACAGCGTCCCTCACCTGTCAGTCATAAGCAGAAGATCTCTGCAGTGCTTTGTCCTGACAAGCCACAGAACTAACGGAGACCACCTCTCTTCTGTCTTGCGTAGGGAAGAATACGGAAAACTCTTTGACTTTGTCAATGCCAAGAAGCTGAACATCAAGAACAGAGGATTTAAAGAGGTAACTTCAAAATGTTTATTTGGGTGGAAGCCAAAATGTGTAATAAGTAATATGCACCATAGGGCTGGGCAATATCCAAATGTATTATTATAAATAATTAGTTAAAAATGATATATCTCTATTAATGTAGTTGTTGTGGGGAAAATGTATTTTTAAAGCCAATTCTAGTGAATCGGTGCTAAAAATATTCAGCCTCTTTTCTACACAGTTTTTCAGTAAATCAACCATTTTTTTGGTTCGCCTACTGTTCAGAAGTTTAGTAGGGTTTTTGGGAAAAAAAAATAAGTTTTTATTCAGCAAGGATTGGTCAAAAGTGCCAGTAAAGACATAATAATGTTAAAGATTTCAAATAAATGCTTTTCAAACTTTCTATTCATCTGTGAATCCTGAAAAATAAAATCTATCATTGTTTCCACAAAAATATTGGGCAGCACAGCTGTTTGTTATAATATAATATAATATATAATCAGAAGTGTTTCTTGAGCAGCAAATCAGCATATTAGAATGATTTCTGAAGATCATGTGACACTGAAGACTTGAGTAATGTTGCTGAAAATACAGATTTGATCACAGAAATATATTACAGTTTAACAGATAATCACATAGAAAACTGCTATTTTAAATTCTAATAATATTTCACAATTTTACTATTTTTACCATATTTTTAAACAAATAAATGCAGCCTTGAAGAGACTTCTATTAAAAACATAAAAAAATCGTACTGACCCAAACTTTTGAACAGTACTGAATGTACCCCATTAGAACAAATTCAGCTTGCTTCTGCTCCTGATTGAGTGCAGGATTCAGTTATCACATTATTCGCAATGTTAGATAATAACATGTATTTAAAGTCTTTAACGTGCAATATCCATTTAGCATTTCTTAATTTTCTATTCCCTCCCTTGCATGCTTTCTCTTACTCGTTCTGACCTGACTGATAGTGATCACGTTTAGTTCCAAGTGTTGTGTGAGCTCAAATTGAGTAGATTGTTATGAGTTTTTCTCTCAAGTCGTGTTCATGTAATCTGAAACCGGTATTAACTAAATAAACACTCCATTCTGTTGACGGATCTGCGCTGATGGGAATAAGCAGGAAGAGCGTTTGATCAAGACTCGGTGTGTGTTTATACTGATGGAGACACACTTTCACTGAACCTCCTGTGGACAGCAGCCGCATACACAGTCATGTGTTACACTGACATTATTTATTGTGTGTGCTAGGGCATGAAAGGCGCAGAAGGCTACAGCGACTCTGATGAAGACCAGCATGACGCTTACCTGGAGCGAATGAAAGAAGAGGGCAAGATCAGAGAGGAGGGAGACGGCAGCGACGAATCCGAGGGCGATAGCGGTACTGACACACCTCAAACGAAAGATATAAGGCGCTTTCCACTTTATTTAATTTAGAAAATTAACCGGGTCATATTTGCATATTAAAATGCATGTAAACTCTAAGAATAACAGGGGTCATTTGGGGTAAAACTGTATAAACGCTCATACCAAACAATGTGGAATATACAGTAAAATGCGTTTACTCACACTTATGTTACATTACTGTTGCATGTATTACATGCGTGAATCAGGGGGCGGGGCTAGAGGCAGTGATGTAGAAGTAGGCGGGGCTTCGTAAACAGTTCTTGACCCCTTTAAGGAGGTGCTTAACTTTTTACAAAATGTTGCACGTCAACCTCAGGAAGTAAAACTAAATATTACATGAGCATTTTATTTTTTGAAATGTATTTATTTTTATTTGGGGGGGGGGATTATTACCAAAATATGGTTTACAGCATTCTGACAATAAAATTAAACATCAAAATTAAAAAGAAAATTAATAAAATAAAAACTGGATAGATGAAAGGTTTGCAAATATAGTTTGAATTAAACCATATTTCAGCAGGTGATAAATCTTAGGTGTCAGTTTAATTCCACTAAATTTACACAAATGTATATTTATGTGCAATTTAAATTTTTTGTATTGCGTTAAATATTAATGAAATATTATATTTGAAAATTTAAAAAACATTACAATACACTGTTCAATAGATTGTCAAAAATGTATAATATATATTACACACACACATATATATATATATACAGTGGGTACGGAAAGTATTGACCCCCTTAAATTTTTCACTCTTTTGTGTGGATTATGCAGTATGTGCAACGATGATATATGCTGTGACAAAAGGTCTGAACTTCACATGTAGCCTACATGTTTATGAACACAGCGTTGAATAGACTTGCTCACTCCTGTTCAACGGCAACGTCGCAGTAGAAAGCCGTGACAGTGTATTTTTTTTTATATTCCTGAAACAAAAATATGAGGGACAAAATTACCTGTGCTGTGAGTCTATATATCCTAGAGAGAGAAAACGGCTAATTCATAAAGATATTTAGAAAGCCTGCATGTTTGAAAGTGTATTAACAGGCTCTCACTGATTACTGCAGTTTGTAAGAACATTTTCTCCTGATAAAGAAGCTGAGTTTGTACTGAAATGATGAGACTGAGATCTCTGTCATTACTCAAGCTCATCACACGAGGTCTCCATCAGCACAGAGCTGGAAATATGGAAATATGCTTATGATTACTGTTGAATTAACATTTTATTACAACCTGCAAAAACCTTTCTGTTGAGAGATGTAAATACATTTTACTATAGTTTATTGTGCATGCAGATTATAGTTTAAGTTAAATCAAGGAATTTATAAGACATCAATGTCTGTAATGTGCGCTATAGCTACAAAACTTTTAGGAATCTTAAGTTGTAGGTTAGGTAATATTGGTCCGTTGTATCTGACATAAACGTTCCACGAAAGAAACTCTGACCACAAACATCAACTTAAGTGAATTAAAAGCAATAATTAGCAATATGCGTTCACATAAGTGACTTTTTATTTGAATGTATCAAGATGTGTTGACGGAAATGACTTTATTTGAATGTTTCATTGATACAACATGAGTTGTTAGAAAAGATATGTGTAGTGGCGTCATTGCTTGATGACGTCAGGAACCGATTAATCGTCTTTTTGAACCGGTTCAATGAGCCGAACTGTCCAGAAAGAACTGGTTTGCGGAAATGAATCAGAATTTGCATCACTAAAGTTGAATGTGAATTTACTCGCATATGAGCAGCTTTCCTGAAACTATCACAAGCGCACCCTCAGCTGAAGCTAATTATATTGACCAAACAGATCTGTAAAGCACTTTTCACGAGTAATATCATTCTAAAGGGACTACTGAAGCCATGCCGCAGACTACTTGGAAAATAATCTGCAACAAATTCTAGTGCATTGAATTTATATTAGCCTAAGCCAACTATATAAATTACTAAACCAACAACAACATAAAACATTTACGTTGTTTGCGACTGGGCAACAGTAAAGCACTTTATTCTTTAGGCCTACTCCGCTTCTATGAACTCTATTGGTAACGACGGAACTTGCAACCATAGTAGCCTCTGGGAAACACCCCAGAGCCGCAGAGAGTTTAGTGTGTGACGTTTAGTGTGTGACACCGGATGAAAGAGTGTTGCCTAAAGGCGTCTTGTGACAGATTAAAAGCTAATAGTATTCAGAGGCTGCTCCTCGCTGTGTGGGCTCGGAGCGCACTGATGAGGGGACGAGACTCTGTCTGTGTGTGTGTGTGTGTGTGTGTGTGTGAGAGTGTGTGTGCGCGCGCGTTTTTGTGACAAATGAGGACATAAATGTGTATAATGACAAAGGTATGACAGGTATTACAATGAAGCTGCTGAAGAAAAGGGAAGAAAACTGTTGAGAAAGAGTCGTGGTCTATGAAAACTGCATTCAGGGGGTTATTTTCATTTTAAATGAAATTTGCATTCATTTTATTTTAAATTAGTTCTTGTGCTTTTTTGTCTTTTTATTAGTAATTTTTTTTTTAAATATGTCTACATAGTTTTTTTAATTAACTTCTATTTCCATTTTAGTTATTTTAGTACGTCAAGTTAAACTAAATGAAAATGAAAAATTGTACCTCAGCAACTAGCTGAAATAAAACCATTTTTTATTTTATTTTGAATATTTGAAATTCATTTTTATTTAATAATTATAAAGTTTTATTGTCCATTTTTATTTTTATTTCAGTTAGTTTTAGTAATTTTGTTGTGCAGTTTTGTCATTTTTATTAGGTTTAATGTCTATATTTTCAGATTTAGTTATTTTAAATAAAAATAAAAAATTTTGTTTTAGCAACTAGCTGAAATAAAATTTTTTAATATTATGTTTCATTTCAGTTCATTTATAATAAAAATAATGAAAGTCTATTCTGAATTTAGGATAAACTAAATTTTAACCACAAGGATGTTAACCAAAAGTATTTGTCTGAAGCCGCCTCAAACATATTTGGACACTGAATTCACTTGCTGGATGTCAGATCTAGCCGTTTAAAGGTCATTGCAAAGAAAGGCTCAGAAAAGTGAAGTTGATCTGAAAAAAGCTCCTGCAGTGGTGGAGCAGATTCACTTGCTTTGCAACTTTCCAAGGTAATGTAATCACATTTTAAGCGTAAGTGTATCTTAAAGGTACTTTTTAACGGCCAGAGCATTTTTAAAAGCACTCCTTCCAGACGATTTTGAGTTTCACAACGTGTTAGATGAGGTTGTGTGTTTTAGCACGTGTGGTTAACACCAACATCAGGCAAACAGAACATCTTAGGAGGAACCAAAAGTGTGAGAGGAATAGGAAAGTGGTTTACCGCACCATTGTTCTCCATCAGCCTCCGTAGAGCAATAATCATGTTAATATTAAGACATGACCTGTAGTGGATGGTGACCGATTACAAAACAGAAACGGAGATCTTCTGCCATTCCTTTTTCACAGCCAAACATTTCAAAAACATTTCTACACATCTGGCTTTCTATTTCTTTTCTGTTTGCACAAATATTGTGCAAAAGCTGAACTAAACCCACAAAAAAATACACGTTCCCTTTTTTTTGTTGTTTTTGAAACTTTATTGTAAATTGTAAATCTTTTTCCCTGCATCAAAATATCTTCACATTCAGTGTTTTCAATACATGTAAAGACATAAAACATCATAATGTCAAAGCAAATCAGTGCAGAAGGCACAAAATACATATTCTTATTTTGTCATGAGGTTTATAATGCTTACATTCATCCGCTTAAACAACAGCATCATTCATTGCCATCCACGCTGAATGCATGTTAATGCTCACTGAACAAAGTCTTTGCTAATGGCGTTTGGAGAGAGTAGTTTCCAGCACGACGAGATGCGTTTCTCTGCAGTTTTCAGCCAAGCAAGATATCCACTCACACTTGCAGCATCTCAAACGTGCTCCTGTAAAAAAAAAATATATAATTTCATCAGGTGAAATGTCAGAGACAAGCATCAATTACAATACAAAAATAGTTCATTCAAAACTGAAAATTCTGTCATTTATTTATACTTATGTGGTTTCACACCTGTAGGACCTTCTGTCTTCTGAGGAACACACACATACACACAAAAATAATACAGAAAAAAAAAAACTACGTCTTACATGGCATCTGTGGAACCGCATGAGTATAAGTAAACAACACCTCAGGTGAACAATTTGTTTTCAGGGATAGTTCACCCCAAAATAAAAATTGTGTTATCATTTACTCACCCTTGTGTTGTTCTCATGCCGTATGCCCTTCTTTCTTTTTTGGACCACAATTTCTTTCTTTTTTTTTTAAATGTCCATATAATGTCAGTATATTGCGATCAACATCAAGCTTTAAAAAAAAAAAATCCGCAAAAGTATCACAGAGTGGTCCCATGCTACACATGCTGTACGCATGTTCCAAGTGTTCTGTGGGTATACGATAAGGTCTGGTGAAAAACAAGCTGAAATTTAACATATTTAGCAAATATCCTGACTTGGCCGTTGGTCTCGGTGCATGACTGCGCATTCATGAGACTCCATTAGCATCGCAGTTCACTCCGATTCACCCAGAAAATGCACACAAGTTGTGAAAAATCCGGATTAATAAAAATGCAGCCTGAAATGCAACCTATGTGCTTTCTTCTCTGAGGTAAATATATCTGCTGTGCTCGTCGCAACAGAAAGTTATCACGCTCATCTCTCATTCATTTTGACTGTCATGAAAGCCAGAGCTCCAGTCCGGAGTCAGTGAAGAAAATTCAACTCAGTGAACAAAACACATTGATACTTTTTGGGGATTTCTAGGTGTTGTTGTTTCATGTCGCATTTTTATTAATCTGGATTTTTCACAACTTGTGTGCATTTTCTGGGTGAATCGGAGTGAACTGCGATGCTAATGGAGTCTCATGAATGCGAAGTCATGCACAGAGACCAACTGTAATGGAGCCGACGAGACGAGAGGCGTGCGGATCCACATGCAAACTTTTATTAATAAACATGGTCAAAAAACACAGGCAGGGTCGAACAACAGCAAACAGG